TTTAAGGTCATCAATAATACAACAACAACAGAATTCATCTAGTAAGAAAGAATCATTTAATGATGATACAATAAGTTTATTAAAATCAATTGATGCAATAACATTATCACCGGCATCTCTTTCTCCTTTACAATTATTATTTGATGTTGCACGTACAAATCAATTTAATCGTCGAACTAAAATCGACCATATTCGTCAATATGTTGAAGAACAAATTGGTATATCAGCTTTTTTAACAATTTATAAACTAATTAAATCATCACAAATACCTATTGATATACGACAAAACCATTTTGTCATTATGCAAATTTTATTCCTCATCTATGCTGTTTAATTATGCTTGAAAGTGAACAACAAAAAAAATCGATTGTTAAATAAAACATCTCTATGACTCCTCTCTACAAGAGATTTTAATCAAATGAAAACTATATTCTTGATATAGAAGAATGTGATTGTAATCTTTTATCATTATGAAAATAAATATCTGAATATTGATACGTTTCAGTTCGTGGATATTTTTGTTGAAATATCAACGATTCATCAAATATTTCTTGGTGATATAATCCTGTATAGCAATCGGATATGAGACATGGGCAATATGAAGCCATATTTGAATAACAATAATAACAGTACGAAGATAACGATGGATAATTGTATGTTGTTGGATAGGAATAAAATTGATTTGCGTCGGATATAGATTCAATAATATTTGATGATTGTTGTTGAGATTCATTAATTCTATTGAATCGTTGTTGTTTTTGACGATTGTAATAAGTATGATTACGAGAATAAGATTGTTGACGATATCGTTTTCGTTGATATCTTGATATTTTATACTGATTATGATAACGAGATTGAAATAAATCATCATCACCAAGTAATTCACCGATAGTAGGATTCTTCTTGATTAAATCTATATTATTCTTTTCAATATTTACTTTTGCTATTGTTATTTTCTTTTGTGAATATGTTAAACAAGATGGTGAACTATTACTTCTAGATGGTTGCACCATCTTATTTGATTCTAATAAAAATAAAACATTAGGAAAAGATTTCGAAATATTATTTCGATTTAATGAATATTTTGGCATTTTTCTCTTTAATAAATATATATTGTCTGTACTTGCTTGTATAATATTAATGGATACTGGTTTTTAAATCATACTTTCTTGAATATACCGTATTCATAGAGACTAAGAATACGCGCGATATAAAAGATTTATTTATTGGAAAAAATGAAAAATTTTTTTTTGCTTAAATAAAATATTAAATATAGGATATATTTTACAAAAGAATAGTTTTAGTTCGTGGTTAATGATTATTATTACAGTTATTACTTTCGCCAATAGTTTTACTATTAAAGAATTTACTTTTATCTAAATAAAGTAAAAAAATATAAGTTTACAGGAAAGAAGACATGAGTTTTTCATACCAGATTTATCAAAATTTGATAAATATTCTGCCAATGATTGATTTTTGAAATCAGTATAATCTAATATTAAAAATTATAGAGTAAATACGAAGAATTGAATTGATAAACTTACCATCACGAATATGAAGATTTGTTAATGCATTCCATCGATCTTTGATTTCAGGATCAACTGGTGCAATAGATAATAATTGTTTAAGTTGTGTTTGATTGCCTTGTTCTTGCTTATTTAACATTTCATAATCTCTAACTGATCCACAAAAAGCATCAATAGAATGTTTTTCCAAAGTATTAAACATTGCTTTAGAATCTTCAGCTTCCTTGTATAATATTGTTGAACCAAATAACCATGGAGCAATTGAAGTTATTTCATTTTGATTTTTCATCCATATTAAACGAGATGTTTTATCCATATTAAACCAAAGGCTAAATATTAGTTTCAATATTGAGAGGAAAATATTTTTTCAAATAAAACTTACGCTGCTAATAAAACTTGTTCAGTAAAAGTTTTATGCGAATATTGAATGATATCATTATTATTTGATAATAAACGAATCATTGGCATATCCGAATGAATATTTGTTGCATTTGTATATTTACTTTCAGCTTCATTAGCATTTCGAATAAAATTATTCCAACCAACTGCTGATACTTTCGATGTTAAATCTTTTGTAATAAGGCCCTTTTTTAATGGTCGTAATGGATTATGTGTTTGTTGTTTTGCTAATTCAAAATTATCATCATCCGTAATAATACAATCAACAGCCAACTTTTGAATTCGTTGAGAAATCCCCATCTTAATTAGATCTTCTGGATTACACCAACAAAAAGTAAGACCACTTTGGAGACATGCTAATTGTAATATAATCCGTTCTTTGCTAAAATCTGGTAAAATAGCCAGTACCTATTTAAAAAAACCCACATTATTAGGATACATATAAATTTAATAATTTACAGTTTTTCCTGCTGTTAAATCAAATCCTTGTCCAGTAAGTACATTCGCGAAACGAGATGATTGTATATATATATCATTAAATGTTAATTTATGATATTCATTATTGCTACGTTCACATATCCATAATGCCTCTTGTTTTGGTTGTTCAATAGCCAAATGTTGTATAACATCATTAATAAGACGAGCATTGATTTTATCTCCTTGTCGTAAATAATTAATAACACAAGGTAATTTCAAAATATTACCTAATTTATTTATGTTTTGTTGAATAGAAATACGTCGTGCGGTTTCTTTCATCATCATCATCATATTAATGTACATCGATAATAAAAATATTATGAGTATAAATCATTTATAGAACCAAAATTTCCAACGGATGTGAATAATACTTCCTTGATTAATCATAACGTACATACATGACATAATAGAAAACGAAATACGCAAATGTACACACCCACTTTTTTCTTTTTTTAAACCAAAATATAAACCTTAAATGCATCATAGCAGCTTGCACTTATTTGCCTTAAAATCAATAAAAATTTTAAGAGGCTCTTATGACAAAAGTTATTTTTGTAATAATATCCAAGCTTTTAACAAAACATTGTATTGATCAATGAAATATTTTCACTAGTCCATAGTTTATCGTCACGAGTATTTATAGGTGCAAAGGTAAAAATAATTTCACAATACTTCTAACTGCATTTATGTAAAAGAGAATTTTTACCTTAGAAAATATTGCTATTCATAATAATTAATTATTTTAAGAGAATATTTCTAATTATATCAATCATTTTATTACAAACAAAAATAACATCGATTTCTTTTTTGATTTAACACTAACAACTGTACAAAACACGAGTTTTTATATTTACACATATGTAGAAGAAGAAAAAAATAATTACACAAAAAAATACAATTTATATATCATCAAGTAAGATATATTTCATTAATTGATTATACTTCACCGGAAGTGTTTGAATACGTTCTCGAAAATGGGTACCCGCAACTTGTAAGCGTATTTTTAAACGACATAAGCTTTTTAATGGACGTATTCGTTGTTGAAATAATGATATAGGTGGAATATAACCAGCTTCAATTAATAAACGTGCTAAACGCATATGTTTATTAATAATTAACCATTGAAAAAGGTCTTTGTCATTTATATTAAATGATATAGCACCATTACGAATAAGATCATTAATAATTGTTAGATTATATTTAACAAAATCAAACGCTGTTAAATGATATTGATTATGAATACGTACATTTGCACCGGCTTGTTCAAGTAATAAATGTACAATATCACAATCAGAATGAAGTACAGCTAACATTAATGGTGTTGTACCATAACGATCTTGTGCATTAACATCAGCGCCTATTTAAAAAACAAATAAAATGAATATTTTATTTAAAAAAAACTTTATGGTTTCTATTCACCATGTTGAAGAAGAATTTGAACGATATCATAGCGATTTGATTTTGCTAATACAGCATAATGAAGTGCTGTTTTCCAACCAGGTAAATGTTGTGTATTGATATTAGCATGAAAATAATTAATTAATATATCAACTATTTCATACGAACCAAAATGACACGCAGCAGCTATAAAAATCAAACATAGATGAAAATATAATATAAGAATTGTTTTTTTATACCTAATGGTGTAATAGGATGATTAAAATCATCTCTATATGAAACAAAATAAAGACTTTGATTTATTGTTGAACGAGCTCGATTCGATTCCAGAATATATCGAACTTTAGTAAGATCCTGTTGTATTATAGCAACTATTAATCGGTCATCCGTATTATAAGATGGAAGAAAACGATGAGCGGGTAGCATAATAATTTTTTTTTGATTATATTTAACAAAAATAAATAACTAAATCTTAATACTATTTTAGTTTAACAGTTGTATAATTAATTATAGTTTTTTGATCATCATACTATCTATCTATACAAGTATTCCATTCCATAAATTACCAATTATTACGATTGGTATATAATATCTACAAGATAATAATAATGTCGTTATTATATGAAATTTTCTCATAAATCTTTTTAAAAAAAAATTTAATATAATATTTGAAAAATATTTCTAGGAGCAAATAAAATTTTGTATCGATATTCCTATCTCATTCTTGTTATCACAAGCCAAATATTATATTATTGTAACTAAATTAGATATTCATAGAAGCATTTTTGTGAAAGAAAGAGAACCAAATTTTGTTTAAATTAATGAACTATTTTACTTACTTGATAATACACAAAGTCGGTATATAGGTTAATTATTCAATCGATAACATCCAAAAACAAGCACTGTTATATGTTAGGAATGAATATTTTGTAGAAAGAATAAATCAAGAGTTTGATTTAACACAATTTAATGAATTTATTTGTTCCACATATATTAAATCAATTTTCATGCAATTATTTTATCTTGATGAAATTTTCGGTCTAAAAATAACCAAATAGAAATATATGAATAAAAAACGAATTATATTTTTCGAACAATAGATTATTTGTTGAATAAATATCGAATAAGAAACTAGTGACATCTATTTCTTTGATTAAATATTATATTGTAACATCCATTTGGGTAATCTGCATTCTATAAATGGCTTCTCAATCAATTAGTATATTACAAATCGTAAAAGAAAGTTCTTCTTGTTGTTTCGTGTATTCAATCGCGTATATGAATACATTAAAATGCACCTAGACGTCGACGATATATCATTGTTCTCTAGTAAACATTCATTTAATCTTTCACATCTCTACTTTTTCTCAAATTTCCATCATTAATCATTCTAATTGATTATTTCGATTTATTATTCAGTCAATAATATCATCTCTACACCATTATCGTCATCAATACCAAAGTAAACTGTCCATCATCTTATATATATATCTATAATCTTCTGCGATTGAAAAAAAAAAGGAAAATTTCCCTTCGTTTTTCGTATATTCTTTTGTTCATAAACCATATAAGAATATTCAAAAAAAAAAAAAAAAAGAAAAATTGTAAACTTATATTTCATCATCTTTTTTCCCACCTCTTTCAGAGACAACAATATTGGTTATTCAAACAATTATTTCCTATATGGTAAGTAAATAGAAGATAAGAATAAAATTAAACCTTACTTTGTTGTTTTTTTTTTGTTAGTTGATAAATTAATGGATACTGAAAATACAAATGATGAACAAAATCAATCAATATCAAAAGGAACAATTCAAACAAAATTACGTATGAAAGAACGTAGTCGTTCACAAACAACACCAACAAATACTGATATAAATGATCCAGAAAATTTAGATTATGAAGATATTGATGATAATCATCAAGTTAAGCAAATTCATAATTCGGTGAAGAAAATAAATGATGAAGAAAAATCATCAGTTGATATTCAAGTAGAATAATATTGAAAATTTTTAGAAATAAAATCAAATTTTTTGTATTTCGAAGGATGAAGAAGAAGATAAGACATTAAATAATCAACAGAAGATAAATAATGGTTCATCAAATAATCAAGCAGCAGCAAGTGATGAAGGAGAAGTGGTAATTTCAATAGATAATAAAAAATTTTCAATTGAATAAAATCGTTTTTGATTGATTAGGATGAAGCTGATTTAGAAGATGGAGAGATTCATGATCCAAGTACAACAAAAAATGATAATGCATCATCTGATGAACAATCATTAGATCAAAATCGTAATCAAACAAATACTGGTGTACCATCATCACCTCAAGCTAAAGTACATTGTCGATTTTTTTCTTCAAGGTCGTTGTCACTGGGGACCTAATTGCAAATATATTCATCCAAATAATGATTCAATAAAAAGTATAGAAAAACGAATTCTTCTTATTTTCATATAATATTTTAATTTCTAGATCTAAATAATGCACCTGTTGTTGATGGTATATCATCATTAAATAATGATATTTCACCACCATCATCAGCTAGTATTTCTACACCACAACCAACGAATAATTCATGGATCTCACCACAAGCAACAACTATTGTAAGAATATTTGTTGATGAAGAAGAAGAATTACTTATAAAATATTTTGTTTATAGGCACCTACATTTTTCCCAAATCCAATTCTTCGTGGTCAAGCTCCACCATCTGGTATGCCCCTTGTGCCACCAAGTGGTACAGAATCAGCATGGGAACGTGGATTACGTTCAGCAAAAACTGTATGTATCCATATATTTCAGATTATTTAAAATATATTTCTCTTTAATTTATTTAGCTTCGTGAACAATCTATGCGACGTAAACAACAAGATAAAGATTTCAATGATAAAAAATTTAATTTAACTATACGTGATGCACTTGATGAAAGAGAAGCAGATGATAATCTTTTAAATATTGATCGGTAAATATTCCATGTAAATATATATGAATTCATTTTTTTATTATTTTGTTTTTCAAGACCATCTTTAATGGATTACGATCAATCTGGATCGAATTATATTGATCAACGTGGTTATTCAGATAGATATCATCCATATATGTATTCAAATTCATCTAACAATTCTCACTATAATAATAATAATCATCATCGAATGAATAATAATAATAATAATTCTCGACATAATCAAATGTCTTCAACAAATGATCATCTTGCTCGTCGATCACGGCATTCCAATGATTATACTGATTCACGAAATGATAATCGAAATCGAAAAGATAAATTATCAACAAAAGATAAGTAAGTTTTAATATTTTTATTTCATTAATAAATATCATAAAAACACTTTTTTCATTATTATTTATTAGTAAATCAACATCGAAAAGAGATGATGTATTACCTTATAAACGTAATCCATCTCAACAACAGTATGTATCCGGTTCACATCATAATAATGATGAACAATTACATCCTAATCCGTACAATAATCGACGAGGAGATGATTGGCATGATCCATGGGATAGGTACTTAATTTTATTTGAATTTCAGGATTTTCTTAAAACAAAAGATTATAATTCTATTGAGTAATTGCAATTTAATATATCTGAAATTATACCCGCATTCTAGCAAGATCCTTCTATCTTAAGATAGACACTTATGTAGATTTACTTTCATAGGTTTTCAATCTGTTTCATTTTATAATTTCTTAGATCACGAAATCATGGTGGCGGTGGTAGTAATCGTCGTTCATCAGGTGGTGGTCGAGAAGTATCTTATTCATCATCATCAGCGTCATCTTCCAGGTAATAATCCAATCTTATAGAAGATTGCATTATTATTCTTTTTTTTGTGCTTAGTTCATCTCGATCATCTCGTTCACATTCTCCATCTACAACATCATCGAGTCGATCAAGGCAAGTTTTGTTGCTTAATACAAACTAATTATTAGTTCTTGCATGAATTATTTGTCTATTTTGCATATTATTTTATTATTTTGCTTACGCTTTAGATCGAGATCAAGAAGTCGACCAAAACGTCGTTCACCTTCTGTAACACGTGCAACAAAATCAACACCAACAACAAAATCATCCGAGTATTAAAAGCTTTTTTTTGATTTAATTTTTTTAAATAAAAATATAAATCCAATAATTGATTACTAATGAATTTTTATTTTTCTATTAAATAGAATGGCTAAAAATGGCAATGATAAAAAATCCAATGGAAATAAAAAATTAGTCTCACCATCAGCAACGACAAATAAATTTCTTCCTGGTCGACAAATATCAAGTCATACATTGAAAAAAGCAGAAAAAAGTAGTATTAGCAGTAATTCAACAACTAATAATCATTCGAAAGATCAACGCGGAAAAGATTCAGATATAAATACAAAAAAACAATTAAAAAAAGAAAACATAAAGTATAAAATTGAAAAATAAAGTTCTTATAACGGTTATTGTTTTCTTCTTATAATTAAGTCGATCGGATAGTACTAGTTCATCATCATCATCGGATAGCGATACAAATCGTGTAACACATCGATCGTCTAGTTCATCATCGGATAGTTCAAGTTCAGAAAATGATACACGAACATCAGCTAAAACAAAAACAGGTACGATCTATTTGATCATTTAGACACTAAAACTGAAATCATAAAAAGATTTATGTATTGAAGTAGTTTTTAATCCTATTATGTAAAATAGGAATTCAAAGGGATTTAATTCGTTATGTCATACGTGTGTTATATTTTTCTCGATAATAATATTCTTTTTGTTTTATTTAGCTTCAAGTGGAACTAAAGCATCAGTTGGTAGTAGCAGTCATTCAACAAAATCAGTTAGTCGACAAGTATCTTCATCGTCAGGTGGTGCTGGTAGTAAAAATACAAGTACAAAATCAAAAACTGATTCTACAGTTCGAGGATCATCGAAAACAAAAGAATCAGCATCAACATCATCTAAGGTAACTGAAAATAATTTGTTTAGAAAAATAAGAAATTTTTCTTTAAAAGAAACGACGTGATACTTCATCATCGACAGGTGCAACTAAAAAAACAAAATTAAATAGTATGTTTACATATATATATATCTTCATTCATAATGAAATCTTTTTTATTTTAGCGGATTCTCATAAATCATCAACTGATGCAAGTAATGCAGAAAATTCTGATTCTAGTATGTATTTTTTTTTT